TTAACTTCATTAACTTCAAGCAAAAAAGCATTTTCTGATGGATAAACTACACGCATAAAATATACAATTTTGCCCCAAGTGATCATCCAGTAAACCTTTCAGCCTTTCTAAATACATGTTAATATCAGACTGGGTTAAAAGCCTTACAATTTGCTTTGTAACCTTTTTCAGACTGATAGATGTCAATAGCTTTGTTTCTCAACTGTTTCTTCAGATAGTGGTATGATGTGTTGCTACTTGAGACCTTAACGTACATCACTTTGTTGGACAGGTTCTGTTTAATTTCTGTGCTTGATTCATCAGTAATCAGACCTGAGTGTGTCTAATGAAACTGAACTCGGTGTGGCACAGGAATGACGGACCTGACCACATAGTTTGCTCTTTTTAGCACTTTTTATTCAGTTGCTGTTCTCACAACACTCTGTTGCAGCTTTTCGGCTACACCCCACACAACAACCACAACCTCAGGTCCCAGCAAGTCTTTTGCAGGGGAGGCATGATGAACCGATGGAGCTCCGGTGTGTCAGCCTCCCCTGCAGCCATACCATAACACCATGCCCTGCCACACTGTGGTTAATGATAGTTAATTCATGATTTAACAAGGGAGGCAATTACTTTTGCACACAGAGCCAGGTAGGTTTGGGTGCCATATAATGTCATCATGGATTAATAAAGTATTCTAATTCTGATGGCCTGTAATAAATGCAATCATCATTTAGTGACAAATATGCAAAAGAATAAGGGATCAGGATAAAGGCAAATACTTTTGCACAGCACTGTATAAACTTAGTTCTTCTCCTTTCTTTTGTCCTCCCCCTGGAGGCTCTCTGACCTTTCTGTCTCACCTCATCTTTCCTGTCTCTTCTCAATGCTTCATGCTCATAAGGTCCCAGGTCTTTCCGTGAGATGTTCTATATTCTGCAGAGCACTTGTGGCAGGAACTGTTCCTCAGAAGGTATCTCCCTTCCACTACTGCTATTTTCTGCCTTCTCAGCACCCTATTTTCATTATTTTTCTGTCATTCTTCTTTATTTTACTGTTTTTGCACCAATGATGCACCCCTCTGCCTGTCATCTGTGCTTGTGGTGCATGTGCTATAACTGATTAGTTGGATGTGGCTGGTTTTTCAAATGTGCGCATGTGTGTATGTGTCTCTATCTGTGTATGTGTGAGGCAGAGAGAGAGAGATGGATGGACTGTTGTAGCCAAGATTAGTTGAAGGGATGCAGGTTTAGTAAAACAATACAAAAAGGGGAAAAAAAAAAAAAGGTTTCTCCAACCTTATAAACAGTACATTTGCATAATGACTGAAACTAGCCCACTGAAGGAACAATGGACTGAAATCGAAGTTCCTTGATCTTTAATATGCAAATTCTCATGACCGTTGATGAACAACTACTGACCAAAGCCCATTGATCAAAGACCACTGATCAATGGCCATGAGTACCATTCACAGAAAGTTGGGGAAATGGCTGCAATTACAGCATTGTAAAAATGGTGAAAAATCTACCCTCAGGCCCCCTCCACATTTCAGAGACAGTCTTTCCCATTTCACGTAAATGCCCCCCTTGACTCCAAACGCTCAAACCAGCGTTCCTCCCTGTCCAGGATGTGTACATCCTCATCATTGAAAGAGTGTCCACTGGCCTGTAGGTGCAAATGGTGTGCGGAGTCCTGGCCTGACGAGGAAGCTCTTCTGTGTTGTGCCATCTGCTTCACTAGAGGTTTTTTGGTTTCGCCGATGTATAAATCATAGCAATCCTCCTGGCACTTAACAACGTACACTATATTACTCTGTTTGTGTCAGGGGACCCAATCCTTAGGGTAGACCAATTTTTGGCGCAGTGTGTTTTGGGGTTTAAAAATCACAGAGGTGCTGTGTTTAGAAAAAATGCGTTTCAGCTGTTCTGATACTCGTGACAGCAGTTGTCCTTCTCTCTTGGATTGGCTGGAGCTTTCTTTAGGTGACTTCCTAGCTTTGACAAATGTCCAGCTGTCCAGTATTTGTTGATCAGTGGTCATGAGAATTTGCATATTAATGATCAAGGAACTGACCTCCCAGCCCATTGTTGCGTGGGCTAGTTTCAGTCATTATGCAATGTACTGTTTATAAGGTTGGGGAAACCAGCAGTCAGTTGAGACTGAAGAAGTCACTTGGATGAGTGACGAAATATTTTTCCCACTGAAAATGCTACGTCCAGATAAACAGAATCAGCCTTTTGGGGTTTACTTACCTGGATGATTGAGAGAGCATCAAGACATCTTCAATGCACCACAATGGTAGCCTGATATCAGACAGAATTGTCACATAATATTAAACAGAGGCTGTCAACTCAGCTGTATAGAGTGGGGAATCATAATGAAGCAGTTCGTTTTAAATTGTAGATTTAAGCTGTTCTTCATATTTTGGGCCACCAGATGCCACAAAAGAGGACTGTGGTGAAAGGCTTTGAGTAATGATCGCTTTTTTCAATATAGGCTTCAATGCTCCAGAAAGCTTCATTGGGCCATTAATACTAACTTGGGTGAACTAAAGGTGAGCCATTTATAATGGCCGATGGCAAAGTACACATAGGTGAAGCATAAAGTTCCAAATAAAACAAAAAGCAGCAGATGGCTGCCCCTCCCTGAGGCTGGCTCTGCTGGGGGTTTCTTCCTGTTAAAAGGGAGTCTTTCCTTCCCACTCTCACCAAAGTGCTTGTCCATAGGGGTATTCTGATTGTATTATATAACTGTATTAATGTAAGATCATTTTCCTTGCCATATAAAGCACCTTGAGGTGTCTGTTGTTGTGATTTGGCATTCTATAAATTGAATTAATTCGATAAATAAACAATAACAACAGAAAACTAGAATTATACTCCTCCCTCCCCCCCCCAACACAGATTCAGCTACTCTGTCCCATTTGTTTCTTTGTTATACCTGCATCTCTCCATTCCTTTTTTCCCCCCACTGGTCTTTTGCTTAGCCTCTTGATACCTACATTCACCCATTCACCACCGGCTTGCTATTGTTCTTACTTTACTTTTTTTTACTCTATTTTTCATTGTCATTTAACCCCTTCCTGGGGTAAAAGAGACAATATACAACAAGCAAACAAAGCTGAGGGTTATTCAATACACATCATAATTATTAAAAATAAGAATTAAATAAATACATCTGTCAACAAATTATGAGCATTTAATATAATACTAATTAATACTGTTCACCTTTCTCTACATGTTCACTGTCAGTCCATCCCCTTAATCTTTTTCTCTCTTTTGATTGCACTTTGATTGTTATTTGTGTCATTTCTTATATTTTAATCTGGCTGTTTGCAGAATGGAGGGATGGCCTGAGGGCTAGCAAACCCTCCTTAGAATCCAGCCACTCTGCAAGTCTTTTTGCCACTGAGGCAAGAAAATGTGACAGCAGTGCCACTGCCATCTCCCTCACTCTCCCCAGACTGAGTGAGATCTTCCTTTTGATGTAACATCAATAATTTTGATTACGCTATTTATCTCTTTGTGGTAAAATAGTTAAATAGTTTAAAGGAGACTAGATAACTCTTCCTCTAACACTTCATTCTTGATGAAAGGTGGAGCAGGATGGTGACAAAATAGGATTAACCAGAGAGAGAACAGGAGTGAGGGTGTCTTTAATCACTCCACCACTGTCAACAACTTGATACAATTTGTGCTGTCCAGCAACATCGCCACTGCATTAGTCATTTGGGAGATTGATTCCATACCTCCATACCCAACCAACTCACCCACAGCCGCGTTATAATCCCCCACTGAGCAGCTGACAGCTAGAACCATCTTCATGGCATGATTGCTAGTCAGCTGCCCCCATTTCCCAACACCCTAGTCCACCAACTTCACAAAGCAAACAAAAACTAGGAAAAATAGCCAAAAACAAAAATAGATGAGAAATTTTTTGCAATAACACACTCAAACTGCAGCACACTCTAAGCAAAAGGGAGGGGTACTACCAGCATGGAAAGTGTTTTTGCTTGTTGCTTTAGTGTGTTACTGTGATTTTTGCTTCACATTGGCATTTTATAGCATATGCTGTATATTATATATTATTATATGTAATCTGTGGTGTATAGGAGTTTGTGATGTGTGTTTGTGTGTGATGGAAGAGCTTAAACCTGTCAGAAGCCATCCTTTCCTCCTCTGCACTATCACAAACTCTTAGGCAATGGTCTCTAGTCATGTTCTCTTGCCTTATCCCAACACTGCACTGGTTAATTTACTGATTAAGATTGTACAAAAAAAACCCAAAAAACAATTCATGCATTTCAGGAATCAGTAACGCATGTTTTGCATGACTGGAACCCACTGATCCACAAAATAAAATTGTGTGGTTTTTGTGTTTATTCACAAATTCATCATAACTCGTGTGCATTCAAAGTAGGTATGATCTGCATTTTTTGGCCATCCTTTCTTGCTTGACATTTGTGCTGTGGTGCAGGTGGGAACAGTGACAGTGTGTTTGATGTAGCGAAGACTGTGGGCACCATCATCATTGCCAAACCTCTTGATGCTGAACAGTGCTCCTTCTACAACATGACAGTGCAGGCTACAGATGGCACCAACACTGCATATACCCAGGTACCACTTCTCCTTTATTTCAGCATTGCCTACAGTTTGGTACATTTCAACTGATTTTGTAGCACAGTCTTGTATCAAAACGTGGAAAAAATTTCAAAATGTGGACTTTATTGCCTTTTAAAATTTGAAAATATTCACCAGATAGGAATTGGTACATATGACCAGATAGATAAAAATCATGTTTAGGGACATGAAAATATTTCAGCTAAATTATTTACATGTAAATTCATGGAACAGAAAGATTGTGTGATACATTGGGGTGGCTGCAGCTCAGGAGGTAGAGCAAATGTGTATGAATGTTAGATAGAAAAAACAAACAAAAAAAATTAGATAGCATTTAGGTATAAAAAGCAGAGAAAAAAGTGCTTGTATTAATGGGTATGAATGGGTGAAAGAAACATGTTTTATAAAGTGCTTGGAATGCTCCAGTAGAGTAGAAAAATGCTATATAAGAACCAACCCATTTACCAGAAATGTCCAGTAATGCAAACCAGTAAGTTAGAGGTTGTGATTATGTCACCAGTTTCCACTCCCATCATGTTTGTAATGACAAGTGTAAGTTGTAAGAACTTTATTTTACCATTCCACTGGGTTTGCAGAGGATAGGAATGAAAAGAACAATTAGTGTTTCTATCCAGACTATTCAGACTGGTCCCCTTATTTAGAAATACCTTCCATAATAATTCTGACATTTGGATTACAATAGATTCCTTAGGCAGGGTGGTAGACAAACGTGGAGTCCTGGGCCTGTGTATCCTCAGTAATACATTCGTTTTTGGGGATGTGGAACATCACCTCACTGGTGGGGAAGGAATCTGAGCAAGTGCAGGACATGGAGTGCTACCGAATAAATATACCTCAGTGTATAGCAAGGGTTCTGGAACCATACTCCTGGAGAATGGCTGGACTGTAATCATTTTCTGGAGTGGCCTGTGGTGAGAGTAGCTGGGTGGGTGTGAGGACACTCACAAGTCCCTGGCTAAAGACCACCACCACATTACCTCTGTGCATGCCCAGAACAATAGTTCAGAATTCCCAGCCTTCTTTGAGTCTTTAGTTAGTCTGTCTGGGGAATTCATAGTTCTCCCAAGAGATTTCTTCACTCATGTGTGCAAATATGGAGCTGGAAAGGTGTGCTTGGGAGGAATAGCCTGATAAACCAGTGTAGTGTTTTGTTTTTTTTTTTATTGGACTTCCGTCATAGGTATGGGTTGGCCATAAAAAACACCATGTTTGAATCTAAAGTGGTGTACTTGGTATCATAGCACCTTATGCCAAATTTCAGTGATCTGTTTTTTTAAAATGTATATTATCTGATCTGAGGTCATTTGTTTTGGACATTTGGATAAGGAGAAAGAGCTATCAACTCATGACTATCTAGTGATGAGTTGGGTCAGTAGGCTAGGAAGAATGCCAGAAAACAGGTATATCTAGGGCTGTGGCTTGCCTCAGACAAATTGCCTATGTCTGAGGCAAGCCACAGCCCTAGCCCACCCAAACTATCTTAACTGCTCCCTCTTCTGAGTTCGCACTTGTGGGAGGAAGCCGGAGTACCCACGCAAACATGGGGAGAACATGCAAACTCCACACTAACACACATGCAAACTCATGAGTAAAGAAGGAAAAAAAATACTAATGAACCAGTGACAAACTGAACATCATCAAAAACACAAAGAATCAGTGTAGCCACCATGCTGCCCAGGCTGAATTATCAATTGGGTGTTTTTAAGGAAAAGTAATACACCATCAGGCTACATTTTGGGAGTTTGCTGCTGCTGATGGTTCAATGAAAATGACAAAAAGTCAGGGGAAAAGTGGGCAGCCTTGTCTGGTGCCCTTCTTTGGATTGAAGCTTTGGGATGTTACATAATTTGTCCTAACAGATGCATCCGGAGAGCTGTAGAGTATTTTGACTCAATTTATGAAGAATGAACCAAATCCAAATTTGCTTAAAACTGCTAAAAAAAATTCCAATTTACCCGGTCAAATTCTCTGCGTCTAAAGAGACAACTTTCGAATTTGTAGCTGGAGCGATAATCTATTACATTACATCTATTACATTAATTAGTCTGCTTTTAGTGACCTCCAATTGACGTAACCGGGTGTCATTACTGCCTACTTGAATTATAATTTTACTGAATTTATGTTTACCCTTAGCCAGCAGATTTAAATTTCCCTCAGTGTCGCCTGCTCCGGCACCTGGAAGACAATTAACTATGGTTGGTGGTGTCTCTAGCTTCACATGTCTAAGAACAGACAAGAGTGTTGCCAAGTGGGGAAAAGCAGTTAAACACATGAACAGGTCGGTGGTGTACCATGGGCTTCTGTTTAGGACTGCGCTTCCTCCTCACCGTCACCCAGCCATCCTGTTTTCCCAGCTACTGGGGACAATCTGCTGGGAGACAGCTGGCAGAAGCCACGCTACCTTCGGCTGCACTGGCTACAGGGGCCTGGCTAAGCTACAGGTTTTTCAAGGGTGCGAATTTGAGTCTTCAATTTTTTGATCCTGACCTCCAGAGCTGCAAATAGGCTACATTTATTACAAGTATCATTAGTGCTAAAGGAGGCCGAGATGTGACTCCCCTCCCTACTGCTCCCTGCAGGCCATTGCTGCCTCCCCCTGGAAGTGGGTACTTGGTGATTCTTGGGGCTGCTCACGGTGGCTTGGGACATGGCCTGCTGGGGCCCCTGTTCTTAGTTTTTGCCAGGATTGGCCAGCTTCTGACATGGTCAGCTGCCAAGAGGCCGTTTATGTGAAAAGAGAAAGACCATCTCTAAATCAAGGAGGGGGCCTAAGTGTACCTCTTTCACTATCATACAATGCTGTGAGCTATTCCCCAACTTTTTGTAAATAGTACTCATGGTCACTGATCAATGGTCATGACAATTTGCATATTAACAATCATGAAACTGACCTCATGACCCATTGTTAATCAGTGGTGCTAGGTTTGGTTATTATGTGAATGTACTGTTTATAAGGCTGAGGAAACCTGCAGTCAGCTGAGATTGAAAAAATCAATTAAAAGAGTGATGAAACATTTCTCCTACTTAAAACACTATGTCCAGGTGAACAGAGTCAGCTTTCTGTGATTTCCTTACCTGGGTGATTGAGCATGCATCAAGACATTTTTTGATGTTTTTCAGGAAATAAGACCAGTTTAAATTGTTCATCTCCTCAAGTTTTTACTAACAATTACTTTGGTTGATTACTGCTGATTGCTGCTCATTTGAGCAAAGCAAATATGCCAACAATTACCAACATGCACGCGCACATGATGCCATTATATTTGGAGATAATTTAAGGGAAAAATTGTGTGCTTAAGATTCAACTCAAAAACCACTAATATGCAGCTTTCAAAAATTCTGTTGTGGGAATAAGAGGGTGATGTGTTTCAAAAAACAATTTTGAACTGACAAGCTTTAGTTTAGTTGCAAAATCTTTAATTCTGAGTTATATAACTCTGAAGATGTCATTAAGATGAACAGTTTATATCTATAATTTTAAAGTGTGTTCTTTCTTTCCTTTTTCTCTTGTTAATGTCCCTCATGTTCCAGATTCACATTACTGTTATGGACAGCAATGACAATGCTCCCATCTTCTTCCAACCAACTTATGATGTCGTTGTTTCTGAAGATACACCACCTGACACTGAAGTGGTCCAGGTTCAGGCATCTGACCGTGATAAGCATCACCAGTTGACCTACTCTCTGCAGAGTTCCATAGACCCAAACACCATGGGTCTGTTCCGCATTCATCCCACCCAGGGCACTATCTACACTACTCAAAGGCTTGACCATGAGGCCTGTGCACGACACATTCTCACTGTGACTGTAAGATATACTTTAATCCATGAGTTATTTTTGGTCTAAAAGTCTGTATCATAGAATTGTATTCATCATACAGATAGTTTTCCTGTTTTAATTATGCAAGCACACAGTAATCCTCTGTTTGGGCTGGACTACCTTTTGGTGACATCAGCAGACTAATTACATGGTTTACAAATTACACCATTCAGTAAACCAGTATCCACATCTCACTGCATCATTAGAAGTTACATATCTAATTTTTAAACTACTACATAACACGGGAGAAATATGTGTGGTTAAGGAAAGTGAGGGAGTAACAGTTCTAGTCTAATGACTTGTTTTTGTAGAGATTATTTTGACCTTATCATATGTCTTCACCCTATATATATCATTAAAGAAAATATTTAGGTTTGTTTAATCATTTTCTCCACAGGTAAAGGATCAAGAATTCCCATACAGAAAAGATTTGGTCCGTGTACTAATAGAAGTGGAAGATGTAAATGACCACGTACCCATTTTTACCAGTGCTCTGTATGAAGGCTCAGTATATGAGTCAGCAGCAGTGGGATCAGCTGTAGTCCAGGTGACTGCCCTAGACAAAGATAAAGGCGAGAATGCAGAGCTACACTACTCTATTGAAGCAGGTAAGCTATGGCAACTGAGTACTTGCTCCTACATATGTACACGGTTGGAACGTTAATTTGATATTTTGTCTATTATTGTTTTTTTTGTTTTTTTTTTCTCTTCAACAGGCAACAGTGGAAATACATTCCAAGTTGAGCCAGTTTTGGGTGTCATCACTGTTGCGCATGAGCTGGACCTATCCAGCATAGGCCATTATATTCTCACTGTCAGAGTAATTGACAGTGGCTCCCCCCCACTTTCCACTACCACAATAGTGCGGATTGCTGTCACTCTATCTGATAATGCTGGTCCAAAGTTCCCTCAACCTGAGTACCAGACTGAAATCATGGAGAATGCATTGGTTGGGACCTCTGTCAGTACAGTCAGTGCTGTCAGCCAGTCCACCCTCAATTATGACATCAAGCAGGGCAATACCAATCATGTTTTTCAGATAAATCAGTATAGTGGAGTGATTACTACTCAAAAATCGCTTGACTATGAGACTACAACTTCTTACACACTGATAGTCCAGGCTATTAACATGGCTGGCATGGCCTCCAATGCTACTCTGTTAATCCAGGTAGTGGATGATAATGACAACCCACCAGTGTTCCAGGAGCTTCACTACCATGGGAGTATTAGTGAGGCAGCACCAATTAACAGTGTAGTCTTAAACTTAGATGGTTCACCTCTAGTAATAAAAGCCACTGATGCTGACCGTAACCAAAATGCACTGCTGGTATACCAGATTATTGAAGACACAGCAAAAATGTTCTTCACCGTGGACTCAGGAACTGGCTCCATCAGAACCATTGCTAATTTAGATTATGAAACCTTTACTATCTTTCATTTCCACGTACATGTGAGAGACAACGGAACGCCACAGTTGACAGCAGAAAGTCCAACTGAGGTCACAATACAAGTGATTGACACAAATGATTCCCCACCTCGCTTCACCCAGAGTTCTTATGAAACAGTCCTGTTACTCCCCACTTATGTTGGAGTTGAAGCACTTCAGGTTTCAGCGACAGACCCTGACAAAGACATCACTACAGAGCTTGTATACTCTCTGACTGATGGAGAACTGCAGCACTTTGCCATCAAACCTTCAAGTGGAATTATTGTAGTCAAAAACAACAACTTTTCCAAAGAGCGTTTCCGCTTCAGTGTCAGAGTTTCAGATGGTAAATTCTCTAGCATGGCTTTGGTGACTATACTTGTCAGAGAAGCTCTAGACTCTGGTCTCAGCTTCACCCACAGTATTTACTCTTCATCTATTAAAGAGAATATATTGAATATCACCAAGGTAGCTGTGGTCAATGCTATTGGAAACCGTCTGAATGAACCACTAAAGTACAACTTGTTGAATGCTGGTACACATTTCAAAATTCGCCCAACATCTGGAGTCATTGAGACCACAGGTATAGCATTTGACCGTGAAGAGCAAGAGTTCTATGAACTGGTGGTTGAGGCAAGAAAGGAGCATGACCCTCTCCATGTGGCTAGAGTCGTAGTTAGAGTCCAAGTTGAAGACATAAATGATAATGCCCCTGTGTTTGTTGGACTTCCTTATTATGCAGCTGTTCAAGTAGAAGCTGAACCAGGATCACCCATTTTCAGGGTCATGGCAGTAGATGGTGACAAAGGAATTAATGGGCAAGTATCTTACTATCTCAAAGATGACCATGGTCATTTTGAAATCAACAGGCAGACAGGTAGTCTCAGCCTCAAGAGGTCTTTTGAGTCTGATTTGTCCAATGTGGAATACCGAATGGTGATATATGCCAGAGACAGTGGTTATCCACCCCTTTCATCTACAATAGAGTTTCCCATCACTGTAGTCAACAAAGCCATGCCTGTTTTTGCCAAATCATTTTATACTGTTGCTGTGAATGAGGATGTAGCTGTGCACACACCTATCCTTGGCATCAATGCCTCAAGCCCTGAAGGACAAAGCATCATCTACACAATTGTTGATGGAGATCCATCCCTACAGTTTGACATTGGTTTTGATACCGGAGTCATAAGTGTCATCCATGCTTTGGATTTTGAGGCAACATCATCTTACCACCTGACTGTTAGAGCCACGGACTATCTTACTGGTGCCCATGCTGAGGTTGATGTAGATGTGTTTGTCCAGGATGTCAACGATAATCCACCTATCTTCCAGAAAATGACCTACAGGGTAGTTTTATCTGAAACAGCCATGATTGGAACGCCAGCACTCCAAGTAGTTGCCACAGACAAAGATTCAGAGAAAAACAATGTTGTCCGCTACCAGATCTTCTCGAATTCACGTAATAATACAGAGTACTTTCATATTGACAGTAGCAGTGGATTAATCCTGACAGCTCGTATGCTAGACCATGAACTACTCCAAAAATATGACTTTATTGTCAGGGCAACTGATAATGGTTTTCCACCACTGAGTAGCGAAGTGTCTGTGACAGTCATGTTGAATGACATAAATGACAATCCTCCAGTTTTCAACCAGCTGCTCTATGAGGCATATGTGAATGAGTTGGCAACAAGGGGTCACTTTATAACCTGTGTCCAGGCATCTGATGCAGACAGCTCAGATTTTGACAAGTTGGAGTACAGTATTTTATCAGGAAATGAAAAAAGGAATTTTGCAATAGAAAAAAAGACGGGGATAATCACACTGTCCAGCCACCGTAAACAAAGAATGGAGCCTGCCTATAGTCTCAATGTTTCAGTATCTGATGGGGTGTTCACCAGCACTGCACAGGTTCATGTAAAAGTGTGGAGGGCCAATCTGCATAGTCCAGTGTTTGGACAGAATATGTATGAGGCGGAGCTAAGAGAGAATGCTGCTGTGGGAACCAAAGTTATACAGGTAGGTGCACTAAGGATTCATTAAATTATACATTAAAAAGAAATAACATTAAGTATATTAAGTAGCTATAAAGTATTTTTCTGAATTGACAAGGGTGATCAAAATTTTCATTTCAGGTCAAGGCAACAGATGCAGACCCAGGAGAGTTTGGGCTCATAACTTATTCCTTTGTGAATGATGTTGGAAAGGACAAGTTTAGCATCGATGCAAATGGTCAGATCTACACCACAGAAAAACTTGATCGTGAGGATCCAGCTAACAAAGACATTGTTCTCACAGTGGCGGCCCAAGATTTAGGTGGACAAGTCTCTTACTGTACAGTACAAGTTACTCTATTGGACGATAATGATAATGCACCTTGTTTCCGTGCCACAGAGTATCGAGCTTCAGTGAAATCTGATGTGGCTCAAGGTTTTTTGGTGACACAGATTCAGGCCCAAGATCCTGATCATGGCATTAATGCTAAAGTGACATATTCACTTTACAGTGAGGCAAATGTACCAGTGGTAGACATTTTGGAGATAGACCCGGACAATGGATGGATGGTGACTAAAGGCAGTTTCAGCCATTTCAGAAACTCTGTATTATCTTTCTTTGTGAAGGCTGTTGATGGAGGAAATCCAGTCAGACACTCTCTAGTATCTGTCTATATCCATGTTCTTTCTCCAGAGACTTTTATTCCATCCTTTAGCCAATATCATTATTTATTTAATACACCAGAGAACACTCCTATTGGTTCAGTCATAGGAACAGTTCACCTCAACACTCCTCTTGAATTTACATCACTCTCTACTACTTTTGCCCTGGTTAATGGAGAGGCTGGTGAAAACAACCAAGATGGTGTGTTTGTGGTGGAAAAGCATACTGGAGTGATCAAACTTGATAAGCCTTTGGACTACGAGGTGATCAAAGGATACTACTTCAAAGTCACTGCCACGGCACAACAGGCTAAGCTTGATTCGGTGAGTTGTGTTGAAGTTGAAGTCAAGGTATTGGATTTGAATGACAACAAACCAGCTTTTGAGGCCAACTCATATGATACCACCATTATGGAAGGAATGCCAGTTGGAACCAGAATCATTCAAGTTCAAGCAAGAGACCCAGATTCTGGAGCAAATGGCCAGGTAACATATAAACTTGGTTCATTAATCCAGTTAAAAGAGGATTCAGACACACTGGTCAGCACTTTTAGCATTGACAGCAATACTGGTTGGATCACTACACGCAAAGACCTGGATCATGAAACTAGCCCCTCGTACACTTTTACAGTGGTGGCCTCAGACCTTGGGGAGACCCTGACTCTTTCCAGTACAACCACTGTCACAGTTTCATTGTCAGACATCAATGACAACCCTCCCAGGTTCATGGAGAACCACATCTTTGGTTCTGTTCAGGAGAGTGACCGCCCAGGAGAGGTTGTGGCTGTGCTGATAACTAGAGATGATGATAGCTCTGCCTTCAACCGTCAAGTCAGCTATCACATCACTGGTAAGTCCCAAGGCAAATATTTTTTACTGCATTGTTAAGGAATAACAGATAGAAAACAGAAAAAAACTTAAATACATCTATTAATTAAATCAACAATTGACATTAGGTAATTCAATTCAGAGCACTTTGTTTTTATAGCACCAAATCACAACAGCAGTTGTCACTAAGTATTTTACACTATTTTACACTTACAATAACATACAGAGAAACCTGCAACAATCAAGCGATCTCTCCAACCCCTTTTTGAGCAAAAACTTAAGTAAAATGTATTTATATAGCACTTTTTACCGAAAAAAAATCAGTGTTTCACAGTAAAAAAACAATAATAATAAGAATGTAAAATAAACAAAATTTAAAACAAAATGCAAAACAACAACAATGAAGAGAAGCAAAAACTGGAGTGATATTGATTTTCTGTTGGTACCAGTTAAGTCTTGCTGCAGCATTCTGTACAGTCTGAAGGTGATCCGAAGCTGTTGTTGAAAAAAATCAAATGACTATTATAATAACCCAGTTGGGATAAGAACAAGGCATGAATAATCATCTCAAGTTCAGCGTTTTAAACCAGTAGTTTGATTTTAGAAACATTCCTTAGAAACATTCCTTAAAAACAGTTCTGAACCAGTTGTTTGGAATAAAATGGTAAATGGACTGGTTTTTATATAGTGCTTTGCTACTCTGAGCACTCAAAGCGCTTTACACAACTTGCCTCATTCACCATTTCCCACAAGCATTTTTTTCTATGGTCTTTCTATCCAACACTCACTCATGCTCCAATGGACGAATTAGAGACCAACTCAGGGTTAGTATCCTACCTAAGGATATTTGGCATGCACACTCGAGCAAACGGGGATCGACCCACCAACCTTCCAATAAGTAGGGGACTGGTTCTACCACCTGACCTACAGTCACCCCTATGATGATGCTGATGCGACATTGAACTGTCAAATATAACACAACCATTTGGTGGTAATGGGAGGAAGACAGGACAAAAAACACATTGTGGAAGAGAGTGAGAAGTTAATAATAGGTAATGAGTAAATACAGAGTGGTGTGTAAAGACAGTGACTCAAAAAGGTGAGTGAAGAAGAGACACCTGGTGCATCATGAGTTGCCTAGTGCAGTATAACTAAGAGAAGATTCAGGCTGAAGGTGAAGGCTCTGCCACTCATTTTACTTTTAAAATATCCTAGGAACCACAAGTCCACAGTGTGGCAGCAAAGTGCTCCATTGGGGTGATACAGAACAATGAGGTCTTAAGATAACCTTTAAGAAACCTTATATGTGGGAGGAAGGATTTTAAATTCAATTCTGGGTTAAATAGGGACTCAATGAAGAGAAGCCAGTATTGGGGAAATGTACTCTCTCTTTCTAGTCCCTGTCAGTACTCTTGCAGCACCATGTTGGATCAGCTGAAGGCTTTGTAGTGAGTTTTTCAGGCAAGCTGGTGAGGATGATGATGAATGTAGTTACCATTGACCAACATCATGTTTCTAATGTTTCTCTGGCTCTTCCTGTAAAGTGCAGTGGTGTTTTTAAGCTTGTCCAGTTTATTGTCAATTTGTACTCCAAGGTATTTATAGTGCTCTCCACAATGTCCACATCGACTTGAATGCACATGGATTGAAACAGGGGTCACTGTTTCCTGGTCTGCCTAAGGTCCACAATCAGTTCCTTGTCTCGTCTTTGTCATGGTGGCTGCTAGTATTTTTATAGAGCAACAAACCCTTATTTCAGGCTAAATGAGGATTTTCAAAATTGGTGAGATCCCGTTTTCTCTCCAGCTTATGGGTTATCTGCATCAAGCTGCACGTTTGAGAGTTATACCAGGGAGTCAAGTACTTCTGATTTGTGGCTTTTTAAGCCACAGTATCCAAAGTTGTAAACACTGACGATGTTTTCTCTTTTTTTTTTTGGTCCTACATAAGGGTGAACCATGGAACCAGTTAGGTTTAGGATTATGTCACAATTTGCTGGGCAGGATCACATTGGGTGGCACATTATACTAGCAGCAATCATAGCAGTGCTAGTGCTATAATTACTTTGTGACTGTGACAGAATTTTAAAATTCAATTGGTATCAAAAGATAGTAGACTCTTACTGTGGGATTCAGGAAACAAATACCATCTTTCAATGTTTCTTGAAGTCAGCCTGGGATATTCTTTGTATGAATAAGGTCCAAAGCTGCAGATCAAATCTAAAATATTCATAAATTATTATACAGTATGGATAATGATTGCTCTCCAAGTGCATGTCTGATTAAACAGAGTGATTTGGCTGATCAACGGGCAGTGAGCTACAGAAAAAAACAACATACTATAATTAGATACATTTAAAATTTATTAAATCTCCTTAACCATAAATCTTTATAGAATATGCAATTGAGTTATTATTACTTTCCGTAATTTTTGCCAATTTTGATAAATGAAATAGAATTTCCTTTTATATAGCGCCAAATCACAACAACTGTTCCCTAAAATAATACTCTGAAAACCCCAACAACGACCCATAATACCGTAAGGCAGAGCCTTTGGCTTATGGGCCCTTCTTCTGTGTAAGACGCACCAGTTTTGATTCAGGAAATGGACACCTTGTCGACTTTAAAGACTAGGTTTAAAAATTGGTGTGATTGTAGCCCAGGAGGATAGAGCAAGTCATTTACTAATTGGAAGTTTGGTGGTTCGATTCCTGGTTGCTTCAGTGTGCATACCAAATATCCTTGAGCCAGATACTAACCCCTGTGATGCATGCACTGGAGTGTGAATGTGTGTAAATGTCAGAAAACACTTAAGCATAAGAGAAAAAAGTGCATGTATGAAGAGGAATAAATAAAGTATTTGTATAAAGCCTTTTTGAGTGCTCAGGTAGAGCAGAAAATCGTTATATAAAAACCAGTCCATTACCAAAACTTCCCTTTTGCTAAACAATGTAGTTTGAACTGGATCTGGTGACACTGAATCTTTCCTTTGTTACACTGCAATAGGCTTAGGCTTCCCATAAGTCACTATTTCATGATGCAGTATTTCTTCCTCAATCACCTTATTCACTCTGTGTGATTGTATGTAATTTCTGCATCATCATGTAATTTCAAATGCAACATTCAACTTCAAAACTTTAGAGTCAGCTCCTTCACTGCTTGTATCTGTTCATTGTCTAGTTCAGTCTGTTGTCGTTGTGGACTTGTACTCTTATGTACACCACACTGACATTCTGTCTCAGGATAGTCATGGACCATCTAGTTGCACTCTTTCGGAGGTTGGTCTTTCTCTGGTCTTATACCCATTCAAAAGCAGAGGATATATCTCTGACCATTCCACAAACTCTTCTACTAATACTCTCCTCCTGCATATCACACATATTTTCACCCTACTGCATAATCATCTGAATATTTCTGTAGAGGGAGGTCCTGGAGGTGTACTGAAAGTCTGAAGTGTAATAAGTGAACAGGAATTGAAACAGTGCAGCCCTTTCTGGAGCTCCAGTACTATAAATCACAATGTCAGATAGAGCACTGCCAAATCTTACATACTTTATACTGGATGTGATTACTGACATTTCCTGTGTTTTCTCTCTGAGTGACACTGGTTAGATTGTGTTGAAAAGCTTTTGTAACCCACATCAACTACACTGTCACATCCACGCGTTTAGATGTAGATGATAAATGTGCTGTGTGAATGTAGGTGTGACTGGCTGAGTAAGGTCTGCAGTAGAAAATGGTTGAAATTTTCAACTGAATAGAATGGTGCTATAGAAGTATCAGGTTTTTTTTGTTTAACATAATCTGCCTTTGGATCCTCTTCCACACGCTCCATTCCTGACACAACTTTAAAAACAAGTGGCCTCTAACTTTACTTGATATTCTCTGCATCAAACTGTAAAAGTCAGCAATAAACCCACAAACAACAGCTGATAGCAGTGTCATTCTCTCTGTTGTCAGCCTTTAATACTAGTTCTTATAGTTGTTTGTTTCCCAGAAACTTTATATGCAAGTGTCTAATAATGATGCTTTAATTTTTTGGGGGGGTATTTAGCCTAACCCTCAGCCCCTGGCTGTATGTGATACACCAGCAGATTAAAAAAACAAAAAAAACAAACCAAAATGGATATGATTGAATTCTGACTGTTCCAGAGAAGTCTTGGGAAGCTGCTCAAGTCTTGAAGATCTGCACCTACGCAGTTTGAAATTACAGACCTAAGTAATTAACCTGTTTGGAAATCAGTCTATGGCTGTGGTTGGCTACTATTGGCCACTATCTGCTTCCCCTAACGCAGAGCCTTCTCCAATTTGACTTTTATCTGAACTGCATTTTAATGAAATAAATTATTTTAATTGGGACTGACCTTCTTCTTCGTCTGATGGCACACTGTTTTTCTTTAAATTTTAAACAAAATATTCAAAGCCGTATATGCCTTAATCCCAAATCACCAGATAAATCATCTCTTATTAACACTTTTTTTAACTAGTATGCCAAATAGGTTTGTGGGTGAGAAACGCTAAACTCTTACAGTCCAAGCCTGGTATCTTTACAAAAAGAAATTTAAAGTTTTTATTTATGACTTCAGTCAGATTTAACTGGGGTCGTATTACAATTCCAATTTAGCATGGAGATATTTCCATTGGCCATTCTCCTACATAAGAGGAACCAGACGTGGGCTACTGCGAGAAAGTCTGACTAATGACGATTGGCTATGTTTTCGTAAGTTTCGTAATTGGTTCAATGCCTCCATTAGGAAGGCAAATGCTCATACCATCAAGATGGTTTCTGAACAATCACAGCTAGCTTTTGATTGTATACAGTCACAGCTGTGTCAGCTCTGACTGGTTTTAAATACAAATAAAACCAAGGTCATGTTGTTCTGAAATAGAAAGTGCATGCCTGTAGTACTTCACTCTCTTGTACCCGGCATTTCTATTGAACCTGTGACCTCATACAAATACTTGGGTGTTTGTGATTGGTGATAATCTTTCCTGTAAGCTACATATTGCTCACCTGTTAAAT